CTGGACGCGGTAAAGGAGGCAAAGGTCTTGGAAAAGGAGGCGCTAAACGTCATCGTAAAATCTTGCGAGACAACATCCAGGGAATCACGAAGCCCGCCATTCGTCGTCTCGCTCGTCGTGGTGGAGTCAAACGTATCTCTGGTTTGATCTACGAAGAAACTCGCGGTGTCCTCAAAGTTTTCCTTGAGAATGTGATCCGTGATGCTGTCACATACACCGAGCATGCCAAAAGAAAGACTGTCACCGCCATGGATGTTGTGTACGCGCTCAAACGTCAAGGACGAACCCTCTACGGCTTCGGCGGTTAAACGACTGCATCTCAAGACATAACAAACCAAACGGCTCTTTTTAGAGCCAACAAATCTCGTAAAAGAATATAGCGGATAATCAGCGATATTAAGCATGCAATTTACTTCAATATACGAGGCAAATTTTCAAATTCTTTCTTTGTTGATTGATTGGTAAAATTCCAGCCGAAACATATTTGTGTGTCAGACATGCACTGCTCATGACGCAAGCAAGGAACATGTTGACTTCAACAATTGTCGCCGCTAGCATTTTAAAATAAAATTTGAAAATAAATACACATTTAAATAACGAATAGACTAATCACAAACAATCTGTTCATGTGCATTTAAGGTCAAGGAGTGGAAGAGAATATGCAATTTTGCGGTCAGTTTCATAATGCAAGATAAATATGCAAGAATTAATGCCCGAAATGTCGCCGGTATAACAAAGGACATGATGTAATCTTTCGAAAATATTTTTAGCGTAAAAACGACATTCCATCGTGACGAGCATCTGACCTACTTTGAAGAATGACTGAAACTGTTCCTTATGCTGTAAAATACTCCTTTACATCTTTCTTTGACCTCGCGAAGTGTTGTCACTAGCATTATTTTCAGGTTTATTTGCATTCGTCTGAGAATAAAGAACTAAATGTTTTTTACCTTAATACAAAGATACTATCTACAAGTACATATTCAGTGCATAATAATCAAGTTAACTCATTCCAGAGAAATGTAAGAGTGTTATTTAATTTTGACTTATCCACCGTTTAAGCTAAACGGGTGGTATATTCTGGTGAGTATAACTTATTTTCCCAGCTTTTGTAATCTTGAGCCAGGCATAACACTATTTAACTACACGTTGCATAGTTAAATCATGGTTAACTCAGAAATACACTACTCTGATTGGCCAATTATTCCCTTAACTACAGCTAAAAGTTAACTAGCCTCTGGCCTCAACAACTGGCCTCTGATCTTTCTAACGTTAATTAGCATTAGAAACTCGTAATTATACTTCGCTTGTTCGACGATTTTAAATGTCAGTTGTGCCCCATCATGTATGAGACGAAAATTACCACAAAACAGAAGCGACCAGGATAAAGGCAAATAATTACAGTTCTTTGAAACAGCGTTTATCTTTACTTTCACACGCAATTTAATTTTTAAAAGCACACTTGAAAACAATGCATATAAAAACAGGTCCAACGGAAGCAACAGGTGATCGTGCATGACATGCAAATTTTGAGTTATTTCAGTTACATACAGAGAGCTATAGGATATAACAATGTATTTTCGTTACTTGAGACAAAGTACAATTTTATCCGCAATTTTCCTCACTCTTGTTGTTATGGCTCTCGTGAACATTATTTCCTTTTGGCGGTCTGATCTTTCTAATAATCGAAGATATCTAAGGGGCAGCAATCGAACGTACTTATCAGAGAGCAGTTCATTAGTTTTCTCGAATGCAAACAAGATTTCAAAGAAATTTTTATACTTGCTTCAAACAGAAACGTGTATGCCAGAACATTTAAAAAATGCAAATGCCATTGGAAATTCATCGTCTTGTAATTGTGATGTCCTGATACTTGGCTACAAGTCTTCGTGCAATGAAGCCTCACCAGAGCATGTTCAACACGTGCACGATCCTAACACAACTTGGAGTACTGGACGAAATCTTCTTTACGATATTGCTATGAAAAGAACGACTAAATACCTGTATTATATTTATTTGGACGACGATATACTGCTTAAACCAAGCTGGGAAAACGATCGCGAAGTAAACAGCGACAATTCTTGGCGATTTTTTGAAAGATTTTTACTGGAATACACCCCACCAGTTGGTATAACTGGATTTTGCAACGCAAATTTTGTGCCATCTTGTAAAAGGCCAGACAAGCCCGCCGTTATTCGAATTCAGGGTTTATTTGATGCCGCTTTTAACGCTTTTCACGTTAAGGCTCTGCCGTACTTGTTACCTTACATAACAAAATACGAGGACATCTCGTGGTGGTATAGCCAACATTACTTACATGGTTTTGCAACGGTCAACTTCAAGGGAGAAGGTGTCGTGTCAAATGAAGCAATCACTGCTGTAAATATCAAACACAGGAATTATCCGCGAAGAGATGCAAACGTTGAAACCCTTAAGTTCATTATGCAGGATGTCGTTGAGATCGTAAAACGAAAGAATTTGCCAGAAATTGTGTGGCGAGGAAAAAAGGTGACTCGTGTAGTGTTGAAAAGAAGAGACTGTTCATGTTATTTGTGATACGCGGCCAAAAGATTAAATAATTTTTGACAAATTAAAATGCAAGATTTATTTTCAAAACCCACGCGCACAACCCGGGCCACCGGCACGGCGACAAAATAAATAATTGTTTTCTAGCTAATTAATTTTTTCTCGTCAAATCTGTTTTTCTTTTTTAACAGGTACCACGCATTTTGTACGCCACAAACCTGTTATATTTTATTACATATTGACTCAGTCATACCTCATAAAGTCATAACACAGCATTCTTCAAGACATACAGTTGGTTAATAAGTTGTAAATTCAGATTACTTCATGGTTAGCGAGTGCGTACAATTTTTATGAGCGTACAAACGATGGCCAACCATGAAGTAATTTGTTTATTAAATGAATATAAAGTAAAAGCGAGCTAAAAAACGAAATCTTACGCATCAAAACATATTTATTACCGTTCAGTTTATTTGTAATTTTGTTGAATGGAAGAATGAAGTTAGATATTCTTTCAGAAAGATTGTGATGGACGTGAAAATGTCTTGTATTTGAGTTATGTTTCAGTGAATCTCATCCCTACTTTCGACGCCTTCTTGAAAAAAAATGTAAACACTGAAATTGCCGCCAAAATGACATACGAAAATTTTTCACGTGTGAAGAATATCGTACGTCCAATCCAATTACAAGCTTATTATAAATTCCGAGTTGAAGACTTATTTGACAGTTTAATCGATCATTCACGGTAAACAACATAGCTTAATTCAAGAACATGACGTACATAGCCGTATAGCCATAGGACACTACTAGCTTTCATTGGCACACTTACCACGATTATTAGCTGCGTGGGTTACCATATGGCATATTTTCATGAAATGCTGAAAACATAAAATTGATGGCGTGAATTTAACTAACAAGGAACGTGATTTTGTTGATGTTCATAATTCACATAAAGCGTTTTAAAGTCACCTGTGGGGTATTTGGTCAGAAGACGAAGACCGAAATATCCAGCTTGAAATGAAGATAAGAATGATGCCCTTGACATTGTGTTTGTTTACCGATTCTGTAAAGCCTATTCCCACTGTCATAAAAATATTAAATTCTTAAATATGACAGATTCGCACCCTTTCCTTGTATAACTTCGAAATGTAAAGCACAAAACGAGCTTCAGAATGCAAGAGATCAAAATTTGCATGTAAAAATATAAGGACGAAATCCCAGCCAATCAGCGAACATAATTGTGCACCAATCAACGATCAGAAATGCTAATTAGAAAGCTCTTCGTCGACGTCCGACACGAACTCTATATTATATAAACGTGACCAAGTTTCTCCGGGGTGATCAGGTGATCCAAAACAAGTCAAACAGCAGGAAGAAAACAAGCGAAGTGAATATTGAAAGATGTCTGGACGCGGTAAAGGAGGCAAAGGTCTTGGAAAAGGAGGCGCTAAACGTCATCGCAAAATCTTGCGAGACAACATCCAGGGAATCACGAAGCCCGCCATTCGTCGTCTCGCTCGTCGTGGTGGAGTCAAACGTATCTCTGGTTTGATCTACGAAGAAACTCGCGGTGTCCTCAAAGTTTTCCTTGAGAATGTGATCCGTGATGCTGTCACATACACCGAGCATGCCAAAAGAAAGACTGTCACCGCCATGGATGTTGTGTACGCGCTCAAACGTCAAGGACGAACCCTCTACGGTTTTGGCGGTTAAACGACTACATCTCGAAGACAAAGATATTTATTAATAAACCAAACGGCTCTTTTCAGAGCCAACAAATCTCGTAAAAGAATATAGCGTTAAAACGCGATAAACAGCCGTAACTGAAACTGCTTGAACAGGGTAAACTGGACTATTTTACTGCTTACTGTATTGTGTCTAAAGGCAAGCCCAGCTGAGAAATATTTGGATAGCAGAAACATGCATGAATAGGTTAAGGAAGAAGAACTTGAATAATTTAAATTTTAGATCTCTACCGCACAAACAAGGAAGTCAAAGGCCAAATGCAATTTCTACGCACCCTTGTCATAAGACACACATATATATACAACAAGGTTTTGATTTGTGAAATGACAGAATTAAAATCAACACGTTCAAACGCGATTAGGAATATGATCAGTTGATTTGGTTCTACACTTAATAAGCCTACAACCTATAGATAAAATTACACGGCATTTCGGTCTGTAATATAAAATTGCATAATATCTGCCAAAACACGTGTCTGCGAAGGTTCTCGTTTCTCAATTTAGATGCTTTGGTAGTTGGTACTGCCTGAAAAAATATTTTGTATTAAAATACGCATTTTCTCAGAGTGCATGGATGATACACTGGTAAAATTAAAGGCTTCCTTTTTAGCCATTCCCCGTTCAAGCATTTGACTCGCCTTTAAAATTCGAATTTAATCGTCTGCCGAAGATTTAAATTCTAATTATGGGATCTAAGCATCGCGCCCCCGTGTTAAAGTACCACAATCGTCGAACAGTATGCAAATAATCTTTTGAAGAAAAATTTCTTTACAGTATAAATATCAACGATAACTTTTTACAAAAAAGCTATGACCTTAATTACAATATGTACTGTACATGTGTAGAGACCTCATTTTTTTCTTACACAAACATATACGCGTGTATAGAAATATACAATTAACCCCACCCCTCCCCTACCAAGTATCACTACACTCGGAAATATACAATTAGTACTGCATAGCAGTATTGTCAAGATTACGTAACATGTGCTGTAGATCCTGACACGACGGGCAGAACATCGTGTTTTTCTCCACGAAAATTTTACCACAACGATTGCACAATCTTCGCGAGTTTCGTACGTCCTCGTTAATCCGTCGTACATCTTCGGGAACCCCGAGACCTCTCGAGTGGCCTAATGTGACTGGAACGTTGAAACGCTGAAGTAAGCTACCTGGTGGGTTTTTAGAAGCAATTTTAGAATTGTAAGGCGGCGGTTCGACATATATTGGCGTATTAAACGACTTACGATTCTGCCCTTGTTCACTTCGCGACCGCGCGTTAGCGTACGTGGGGGGTAAATTTGTACTTTGTAGGGTATTTGTGTTCATTCGGGGATCCTTCCCCGGATTAGGAGGCATATTATCGTAAATAGAACAACGACGAATGTCAGTATTTCGTAGACTTCTGGAGTTAGGTAACACCGTGCTGGTTTGCAACAATTGGTCAACTGGAGGACTGCGTACGGGGTTAAACGATGTTGACACGTGCGTTACTGTTGCGCTCCGAATACGAGGTTCTTCCTTTACACTCATTAGTTCCAAATCATTATTTAGACCGTTTATTTTACCATAATGGGCGGGACTGTAGCATAGCACATCTGGTTTAATTTTCTGCGTACAGTTTACTTCATCGCGTGTACTGCCGACACCACCCGAGTGGATAATACGAGAGTTTGTTCTTCGTGCAGTTGGCGGGGAGCCGGAGTCTGGACGATGATTATTTAGGAAAAGATCGTTTAATGATCGGCTTGAGATCGGACCAACTTCGTTCAACTGAACACGATCTTTTACAGAAGACCTTGGTAGGGTTCCCTGTCATATAACAAACAATTTTGGAATTAGACACAGTGCAAATGTCACTGAATGTTATTCTGTTACGCGTTTCAATTTTCTTAGGGCTGCTTTCCACCATCGCGTTTCTTGCACTTGCGCACACGCACGAAAAAGCTTAACACCTTCTGAGTTGTTGTATAATTAATTTTATGGTAGAAAAAACACGCCAAATCATCCAAGGAATCCAATCCTACGCATCTATTCATCTTTGATTTCAAAAGTATAATTTGAATTACTTGCGTGTGCGTTCGTAGAAAAAACGCGACGGTGGAAAACAGCCCTTAAGCAACCACATGATGAGAAGCAGGGAATCGCTTATCCACAAATGTATTTACATAATGAGCAGAAGTAATGCGTCAAGGAATACAGGTATTTTTTGATATAGCAAGCGTAGTTTCCAGGGAAATGGACCAGCAGAATTTTCCACGATCCCTTGCTTTTCCGCAATGAAACACAAAGAAATTCCAAAGAAAATAGCAAAAACAAATGCTGAAGGGCAAATTTAATTTATGTGGTAATTGATACAATGCCTGCAAATAGTGTTGGTAAAAATCATGCAATATATTCTCTTGTTTTTACCAAATGTGTATACCACGCTGGTACGAATTTATATCATATGATGTTGTTTCAAGCGCAAATGCACGCATTTATAAAAAATTCTTATTAACCTCGCTTGCTTGGTCTTTATCGAGAAATATCGGACTTTGGTCTTTCCAATACAAACATTCGACAGCCTGATTTCCAAAAAGACATTGGTCTGCCTATTTCTCGATCAAAACTTCCCTCATTCCCAGGATCGTCTGTGTTTATAACGCGCCGTATCATAACACAGAAGGCCCTGGGAACGAGGTTGATGAATGAGAACAACCAATCATTTTGGGTCCGTGAACTCTAATGAATAACGGTAACCCTACCTTATGTTATTATTTCACTGTTTTAGAGGAACGAAAAGCCATTGTTGAAAATAGTTACACATAATTATTTAACATCTTACGTGAGTTGCAGGAGTTTGCTTCATTTCCCTCAGAACCTGTTGATCTCTTCCTCTCTGATTGTCGATTAACTTTTGTTTTTCGCGCTGTGAGAACATTCTCCTCTCATAATCATTTTTCTCGTTGATAAGACGGTGTAGCTCGCGAGATCTATCAACACATGTCGTGTATCTTCTCCTTAAGTTTGCCATGTACTCAGGGCTTTTGGTTACTGGGCAATTCTCAATGGCGATGCGAAATCGAGCTGAAACAAAGCAATGATTAATTTAGCAACATTAATTTGGACGGGGCCGTAACTGGACCGCTGAATTGGGGGGGGGGGGTGTATATTCATATATTCATGTTCATATACTGTAGGAACAATAGCGTACAAAAGAAATCAGTCGGGAATTAGGCGAATACTTGAATAAGCTTCTCGGGAAATTACGTTGGGCTTTCGCCCACGAAATAAGCTTCTAGCTATCGCTTAAAACCTTTATGACTGGGACCACAATTTCTTAGTAACCTATATCATGAGTGAGAGTGGGGCTTAAAGACACAAGAAAAAGTCGAAAATAAATGGTAATGATGTCGCTTTTCTCACAATAGTCGAAAATTTCAGACCCCAAAACTAGCTAAAAAGAACTAAAAAGATATATATGCTAGGAAAATGTGTGCAAATACCTACAAAGAATTTTTCTGTTCTACCCTGGGTTTTGACACCTGCAGGAATATAAAGAGTTTTTTAAATTACAAATCCCAGATAAAACTTACTTGATGCGTTTGTTGCTAAAGAAAGCGACAATGCCAAATCGTCCTTTTCTAACGCGTATGACCTTCGCAATAAGTTTTCGGCTTCTTCGACTATGACGCCTAATTTTTGTTGAACGTCATTTGCTAAAAAAATCGAGAATTAGTCAAGGATTAGCGGTTTTGTTCGAAAATAAAACGAAACAGCCTTTCCCTATCTTTAGCTGATAAAAATTCTTGTGGGGTGAAAAATGTCTTATGACTGCCGACATTTTACTAATACGGACATCTTTTTAATACTGACAATTTCCTATTGATGACGTATTAGAGAAGGGTCAGCATTCAAGAGGTGTCCGTAATAGAAAAGTCTGTATCACGGACATCTTTTAAATGCTGACACTTACCTACTATGGACATCCTCTAATGCTAACAATTCCTTCATTCGGACATCTCTCTAATTCTGACACTTCCTTAATATGAACATCTCTCTCTAATTCTGACACTTCCTTAATATGAACATCTCTCTCTAATGCTGACACTTCCCAATTGCGAACTCTCTCTTATGCTGACACCTCCCTATTACTAACATCTCTTTCAAATGCTGACACTTGCCTATTACGAACACCTCTCTCTTATCCTGACACCTCCCTATTACTAACATCTCTCTCTAATACTGACACTTCTCTATTGCGAAAACTCTCTCTTATGCTGACACCTCCCTATTACTAACATCTCTTTCTAATGCGGACACTTCCCTATTACGAACATCTCTCTCTAATGCTGACACTTCCCTATTACGAACATCTCTCTCTAATGCTGACACTTCCCTATTACGAACATCTCTCTCTAATGCGGACTTTTCCCTATTACTAACATCTCTATCTAATGCTGACACTTCCCGATTACGAACATCTCTCTCTAATGCTGACACTTCCCTATTACTAACATCTCTATCTAATGCTGACACTTCCCTATTACTAACATCTCTCTCTCTAATGCTGACACTTCCCTATTACTAACATCTCTATCTAATGCTGACACTTCCCTATTACGAACATCTCTCTCTAATGCTGACACTTCCCGATTACGAACATCTCTCTCTAATGCTGACACTTCCCTATTACTAACATCTCTATCTAATGCTGACACTTCCCTATTACGAACATCTCTCTCTAATGCTGACACTTCCCTATTACGAACATCTCTCTCTAATGCGGACACTTCCCTATTACGAACATCTCTCTCTAATGCGGACACTTCCCTATTACGAACATCTCTCTCTAATGCGGACACTTCCCTATTACGAACATCTCTCTCTAATGCGGACACTTCCCTATTACGAACATCTCTATCTAATGCTGACACTTCCTATTACGAACATCTCTCTCTAATGCGGACACTTCCCTATTACGAACATCTCTCTCTAATGCGGACACTTGCCTATTACGAACATCTCTCTCTAATGCGGACACTTCCCTATTACGAACATCTCTCTCTAATGCGGACACTTCCCTATTACGAACATCTCTCTCTAATGCGGACACTTCCCTATTACGAACATCTCTATCTAATGCTGACACTTCCCTATTACGAACATCTCTCTCTAATGCGGACACTTCCCTATTACGAACATCTCTCTCTAATGCGGACACTTGCCTATTACGAACATCTCTCTCTAATGCGGACACTACCTTATTACGAACATCTCTCTCTAATGCCGGCACTTCCCTATTACGAATATCTCTACATGATATATATGTACCTTTTGAAGGTCGTGGAAAAGTTCTTGTTGAAAAATCTATGAGATCATCTGTGGTTGTATCAACAGAACTCACAGAGCTTGTGGCTGGTGAGCTGGCCTGGCTGCTACTAGATCCCACGCCGCTATCAACCTCGTCGACCTCACGACCACGAATTGAAGTTGTGTTGTAAGCACGCATGATCTTAGCCTTGGGGTCATCCCTGAAGATAACATTTTACAAAATTAATATAACTTGATGAATTAGATTATGTATGAAAGTAGCAGATTTGTCGAACAGAGTAAAACACTGAATGGTATACGATACACTACAGTTAAAATGCCATATTTCAAGTGTGTGTGAATATTTTAAGAATATTTTACTGAGTGTTCTTGGTGAAAATATCAAATTGTCTGGAATGCACGCAAAAACGTATATTACTAAAGAAAAAATATCATTTCATGTCTGTTGAGGACCCACATAGATTTTAAAGAAACTGAACGCGGATTTCTGGTTATCGTCGTGAATATTCATCTCTTTTTCCAAAGTCCCAAAATTCAGAATAATAATTTCAATAGCAATGCTCAAAAAAGATATTTGGCATCAGATAAATACAAGCACACTGATCTCCTGCTATAATTCTAGTCGTGGCACAGAGTTCATTTATCGTCGTCACCTGATTAATGCCATTCCCCAAATCCCCTCAAGTAAATATGTAAACAAAGAACATCACAAATACTCACTCCAGCTTGATGAGATCATCACACGAATTTTGTTTCCTCTCCTCGTTAATTCTTTCAACTTTCCCCGTATGCAAAGACTTCGTATTATTGTTATTCCTTTCTGGAAACGAAGAATTGTCCTTGCTATAAGAAAACGCGGTCTTCACATCAGACGAACTTTGTTCCGGGGTAGGAGAATTGTTTCTACTACGAGAGAACGACCTCTTTAAATCGCTCGCACTTTGTTCCGGAGTAGGAGAATTGCTCCTACTACGAGAAAACCTCCCCTTCACATTAGGCGTAGGTATATCTGGGGTAATCGGTGAATTGTTCTCGCTAGATACAGGAGTCCCAGGTTCGGAGTTATTTTGTTCCCGGGTCGGAGAATTATTCCTACTACGAGATAAGGCCCTCTTAATATCCGACCCAATGCCCCGTAGTTTCTTCATAGTCCTCCTGCTCTTTTTCCGATCAGGAGGCGAAAGCTCAACGTAATTTCCCGAGCCTCGGTCGGAGCCGAGCGAATGACTGCTGGAACTTGACAACAAGCCGTCGACAGCGTCGCCATTTGACTTGGTTTCGTCCACAACGGACAACGAGCCCCCGCTAAGGTCGTTCGTTTTTTCGTTCGTGAAACTCCGCGATCTGCTGTTCTCTTGGCTGGCGAGTAACGTCTTCGTATCGACAAGTTTTACTTCGGAAAGAGCATGTTTCGTGTTGACGGGCACACCGTGGGGGTTAACATAGAGCAAGAGCAATGGCTGGTAGTGATTTTGACAGCATTTCTTGCGAATCGTCTCCCATTCTGAACCACACTAAGTTCAAGAATAATTTTTATCTTAAAACCATAGAACGATTAAAGGCTTAGCGTATTAAAAATCATAACAAAAGGTCTGCAAGCGATTAAAGCTCGTTTCCGAAGGGTTAAAACAACGTGTTGAAAAATTCAAAAGAACGCACATTGGCATTGGAGAAATTTTAAAAAGATTTTTGTATGCATATAGTAAAGTATGTATATAGTAAAGTGTATTTGGCGCCTATATTTTTGAAGTAAAAATCGTCATTGTTGCTATAGTTGCAGTTGGTAAAAGTACTTCACAAATTATTTTGGATATTCATGTTGAAATGTGCATTCGTCAATTTTCAAGAAATGCCGAGAGCCACCTTAAGCTAAATAACCTTTTTGAGAAAACTCTGGAAGTACCCAAAGAGATCAAAACATCTTAGTTGAGATGAGAACGAGTCAGACAGGGATGGCAGCAACTAGTTTCCCATGGACAGGGCCCATGCACACATCACGTTTTCCTCACCTTGCGAACCCTGGCGTCATCAAAATAGATCCAAGTCCTGAGTTTGTCACTTTTAAAGAACGTCGAGTAATGTTTGCCGTAGTACGTGACCACGCCAGCCAACAATAGCTCAACCTTCCTGGCTCTATCGTCAACTACACGGGGAAATACCTAGAGAAAATGCAAGGAAAAAATTATAGGTTAGATGCATGAGGATACTACATCGATGTAGTACAGATCAGATTTAAGATAGAGTTACAGTGGGATTCGACCTCACAAATCACTTTTGGGCTGCTATTCAAAAGGGCAAGCAGTTGTATGGTGCAGCGAAGTGACAGATGAAGAATCGTGTAGATTTAAAGATTTTTTTTAATTTCACGTTACCACTATCAGGCATGAAACATCGATGGTTGAATTTGATGGTTAAATTTCCGTAGAATTGTCTATAGACGTTTGTTTACTTTTGTGAAAAGAGATTGGTTATCTTAGATAATCGCATTTGACCTTAAATAATTACACTAGAAAATTGATTTGCCTCGGTGAATACTGGATATCACTGAAAATAATCTAGGCCTCGTCTGGTTCGTTCTTCAGCGATATTCATCTCATCTTTGGCGAATAATTATTAATTATTGAACTTTGTAAAGAGCGTGACTCGAGACTACAAGTTTTGCATGATGGCGTAAGCAAACAATACGAGAAGACGACTAATTTCGTGCTAAAAGTTACTGCTAACAAAGTTTTAGCAAGCTGGGTCCGGTTGTATCAAGTCAACGTTAAATAACACTCTTGCATCTCTCTTGAATAAGTCAACGTGAATATTATGCACTGAATATGTAGTTGAATATGTAGTTGTAAACAGTATCCTTGTATTGAGGTCAAAAACATTATGTTTGTATGCTAAACGGGCTTGATACATACGGCTCCTGGACATTTACCTCAGGCAAACGAATGACAGGATCAATGCAATCCAACAGCTGTGTTATCTGTTCAACGTCGGGCGTTTCAGAATCCCAGATCAGGCCAATGCACACTGCAAAAATAAGTTATTTGTGTTTGTAGCGGATTTTTTTTCTTTTCAATATGATATGGAGAGAAGAATGATATTCACTAAGTTTCATCAAGGGCAAGGTCTAATTCAAATTACACTGTGGGAAACGAACATCAACATGAAATAACATACCGACATCTGGGCAATTCAAAAGCGACTGTTGCACTTTGATTTTTTTCCACAATTACCCTGAAAAGGAAGAAACAGTCTAATGAGAAAACGTGTTCTCTTCTTATTAATTTTCACGTTCACGCTACGGGAACTGACCTGTATATATATTTTACATATTAGTTTATCTGGACTGACGGATCGAGGTCAAAAAGTGTTTTGTTTGCGGGCGAATTGCATTGTTTTGTACACTTTTTATCAGTAAAAGCGGGAAATTACAAGGCCCAAAATAGTCTTGGCATTGGTATAGTCCAGTTAACTAATAAACTAATATATTTAGCTAGACCTTCATCCACGCATGATATTTTGATGGATGTGAATTGGGCCCGACAAAAATGAGTTGTGTGAACAGAGCTTTATACTTACATCTATTTCAACTAATTGCATGAAATTCAGTGTACCTTGTCTTGGTTCGAATATTTCTTTCAAGAAAAACAAAGGACATTGCTATGTACTTACGGGGCACGTTCTCACATCTCCTTGATTAACAGCCTTCTTCAACAGGTAACCAAACATATCCTCATTCAATCCTTTAAGTTTGCTGCTTAAGACTTCCGCCTCGTGACTAAACAAAATATTATTAAAAGAGATTTAGACCCAGAGGCCGGTTATACGAAAGCCGGATAGCGCTATCCACCGGATGAAGAGCTTTTCAATGGCAATGTTTTGATACAATTTTGAAGTAATGTTTCGTTTATCATTAATATTTGGGCAAATATCAACAAATCTCTCCCTACTTTTAGTTGCACATTTCCCGGTGTAATATTCAAAAGTATATATACAAAATTTGCCAACTTCGCATACATGGCTACAGTATATTTCGTGTATAAACTTTATAACATTTCGCCGGCGGCCAAACTTGGCAATCGATTACACTAATTTTAGTATGCTTTTTGCGAAAATTTATCGCTTATAAATAAAAAGTTTCATCTATAGCGCATAGGATCCATGGAATTGCACTATTTTGCTTCAGTAGCAGCGGCCAATGTGCAGGTGTGTATTGGACACTTGGACTGTTTACTTATAGTCTGCAGCAAGCTTGAAAAGAATTTTTTAAGAAACGTGCTTAACTCACCATAAAGCGGAGACCGACACGTAATGAACAAGCTGGGAGAATGGCAATGGTTCTGACGTTGCACCACAGGAACAGATACTCTGAACAGGAATTATATATATATATATTATATATATAATATTATTTATAATATATATATTATATATATATATATATATATTATATATATATATATATACTACTGCATGTTTCAAGACCGGCCTGTGTGGGATCTTCGCTAGCAATGTTACTCTGGTTTACTAGCTGACACGAATCGAAACAGAACGCCTCTGAGGGCGGACCTCTCGAATAACAAGGTCGACAAATAATCCAAAATCGTAATGTTAAAACGTAAAATAACCGTCCACGCTACATACTTAAAAGCAAATAGTAATAAAAATGGTAAGAAAAAGATGATAAGAATTAAGAAAACAAAACGACACATAAATCTCCTGTTAACTAACCAGTTGCAATTTTCACAACGATCAAATCCGATGTACCAAGCGATGACAACATGCGTTGGCGAAAGTGTCAATGTGCATGCGGATAACATTTAGGCAGTAATTAATACAAATTTGCATAAAAACGTTTAAAAACAATTGGCAAACACGAAAACAAGGTTACATGCACCATATAATCTGTCAGTGTTGTTTGTAAATTGTAACTCAAACAAGAGTATTATGAGACACACAAATTTTCCTTGTGCAGATAATTACAATAGTTGAAGCGCCAAAATCCATCATATTTTGAGGCAGATATGGTATTACATATATATACAATATTGTTGGTGTATAGCGTATATACACCACATTACACTACCTGTTCCATGATTTCCATCGCAAATTTTCTGTGTGAAACGCAGTGGGCAGCACTACACACTTCATCTTTCTCATTCATGGCAAAATGAAAATGCAGTCGATTTAAGATGTTTTCCTGGTGCAGAGGAAAATATATTAGCAAACAGTTGAAGAAAGTGATTAGGTTTCAGTCCATGATTTGTTTGCAGATAGAATTTGCTTTGTGTGCCTTGGCATGGCTTTTGAAAACAAAAATTACTAAATTCATTTAGTGAAGAAAATTAACACTTCAGCCTTGTAGAGGAATGTGTATAATGAAAGATATGTGAAAACTGAAATCCAGGGGCCAAGTACACCCACCACTGGCAGAGATTTCAAAGGGCCGAGCACACCCACCACCAGTATCAAGTACCAGTTTGCCAAAGATGCCTTGAATTAGGCTTTTTGGAAATTTAGTAGCATTTAATGT